TTTTGGGGGTTATGGTACCAACAGTTAAGGAATAAGGGGCCAAAAATAAGCATTTTTGTAACTTCCAGACATAACTTGTGTGTAAGTGTATGGATCTCACAAGGTTCCATATCACAAAGGGAATGCGGGGATTGATTTATGGGGGTAATTGCCTCCAAATTTTAGGAATTAGGGGCCAAAAAGGGGCAAAAAACAAGCATTTTTCTAGTTTCATGACAATAACGAGTGTGCAAGTCTATGGATCTCTCTGACATTGTATCACAAGGTTCCATATCACAAAGGGAATGCTGGGATTGAATTTGGGGGTAATTGCCTCCAAATTTTAGGAATTAGGGGCCAAAAAGGGGCAAAAAAACAAGCATTTTTCTAGTTTCATGGCAATAACTTGTGTGTAAGTGTATGGATCTTTATGAAATTGTACTACAAGGTTCCATATCACAAAGGGAAAGCTGGAATTGAGTTTGGGGGTAATTGCCCAAAACGTTTAGGAATAAGGGGCCAAAAATAAGCATTTTTCTAGTTTCCAGACAATAACTTGTGTTCAAGTGTATGGATCTCTCTGAAATTGTACTGCAAGGTACCATACCACAAAGGGAATGCTGGGATTGATTTTGGGGGTAATTGCCTCCAAATTTTAGGAATTAGGGGCCAAAAAGGGGCAAAAAACAAGCATTGTTCTAGTTTCATGACAATAACTTGTGTGTAAGTCTATGGATCTCTCTGACATTGTATCACATGGTTCCATATCACAAAGGGAATGCTGGGATTGATTTTGGGGGTAATTGCCTCCAAATTTTAGGAATTAGGGGCAAAAAACAAGCATTTTTCTAGTTTCATGGCAATAACTTGTGTGTAAGTGTATGGATCTTTATGAAATTGTACTACAAGGTTCCATATCACAAAGGGAAAGCTGGGTTTGAGTTTGGGGGTAATTGCCCTAAACGTTTAGCAATTTGGGACCAAAAAGGGGCCAAAAAACAAGCATTTTTCTAGTTTCCAGACAATAACATGTGTTCAAGTGTATGGATCTCTCTGAAATTGTACTGCAAGGTACCATACCACAAAGGGAAGGCTGGGATTGAGTTTTGGGGTGATGAATCATAAGGGGGTTCAAAAAATTTGGGGGGGGGATTCTTTTTCCTTTTTTTTCTTTAAAATTTTCCATTTTAAATTGGTTATTTCTGATTTATATATAAAAGCAAATAATAATGATATGGTTTGAATAGGTAAATTAAATTTTTTTAAGTATCTTAGACCACTTTCATTCTGTGTCAGAAACCTATGCTGTGTCAAATATTTAATTACAATCCAAATTCAGTGCTGAATCAAGCTTGAATGTTGTGTTCATACTTGCCCCAACTGTTCAGGGTTCGACCCCTGCGGTCGTATCAAGCTGCGCCCCAGCGGAGCATTTTATTTCATTCATAAATTACTTTATGCTTGGAAATATAATTTTGCTTGGAGTTGAAAGAGTTGACATGTTGCAATGTACATTTACTCTACATAGTTCTATGGTACCAAATCAAAAGTTTATATAAAGAAAGAAGTCAAAGGTTTCCCATCATAGTTTAGTTACATACATTTTTTTTTGTACCTGAGGTCGTTGAATATAGATCATTATATAAATAAGGAGATGTGTTATGATTGCCAATGAAAAAACTAAGGATTTTCTTATCCAAGGAATAGATTTCCTAAGCCGTATTTGGCACAACTTTTTGGAATTTTGGGTCCTCAATGCTCTTCAACTTTGTACTTGTTTGGCTTTGTTACTATTTTGATCTGAACGTCACTGATGAGTCTTATGTAGACGAAACACACGTCTGGCGTATTAAATTATAATCCTGGTACCTTTGATAACTAATTTGACTATAAACATAGATAAAAAAGGTACAAACTGGACATAATGCACTAGTTCATAAACAAGTGAGAACAATCGCCTTCATATAGTGCTCAGAATATGACATTCATAAAACTTATTCAATATCATTAGTGAACTCTAAATCTTAAATACTGAAAGCCACCTCTGATAAGTACACTGTACTATGCAAGATAATGATATAACTGGACTTAAAATACACACAACCTGTAATTAACTGCCTTTACAGCGCTTTCGTGCTTTGATTTATTTAATCATATAAAGTGTAGTGGGCTATTTTTACAGTTGATACTAGACATTTCACATCCATCTTTGCCAATGGTACTAAAAGTCACTGGGATAGCTCAGCAGACAGAAGCGATGTCCAGAGGATTGTTTTGCATTACATCGGGAAAGATGTTCCAGGCTTGATATACATGTTGGGTGAGACTGGGTCTGTCCAGGGGCTAGGTGCGCTAGAAGTCTATTTTATCTTTTAGTACTTTTACCTTTTAGTAACACATGTAACAAGTTGATAATTTTTTAAGGTTTAAATGGATTGAGTAGATAAATCCTGTAGCATTTAAAATAAGCTAAAATATCTTAAATAGATTAATCTTAAGGATAAATTTTAAGCTGAAGAAACTGTCTCTAATATTGATTGGATGTTACACATAGGACATTTTATAGTGAAAGGCTATATATTTTATAGTGAGACAGTTATTAGAACAGTTTATTTCAAATCACATGAGAAATAGACTTTTTAACTGTGAAGCTATGTGATTGGACAAGAAAGAGTTAAGCCATTTCAATTGATATTTTATTGTGTGTCTTTTTATGTTGTAATGTTACACCACTGTTTCAGGTTAGGGTGAAGGTTGGCGCCCGTTAAAACGTTTAAACCCGCTGAATTTTTATGCACCTGTCCTAAGTCAGGAGCCTGTTGTTAAGTGGTTGTCGTTGGTGTGGTTCATAAGTGTTTCTCGTTTCTCGTTTTTTCTATAAATTAGACCGTTGGTTTTCCTATTTGAATTGTTTTAAACTAGTCATTTTGGTGCCCTTTATAGCTTGATGTTCGGTATTGAAGTCCGTACTTTGACCTATAATTGTTCACTTTTTACACATTGTGACTTGGATGGATAGTTGTCTCATTGGCACTCATACCACATCTTCTTATTTATATTTTAAAACCAATAGTAGACTTTAAAATACGAATGCTGTACAATGCGTTTTCATATAGGTGGTGGTTAAATGTGTATATAACTGTGTAACTGTATAGACCATATTCTACTGTGTAGTTGCAAAGACATAAACTTAGGCCCGCACATACAGAAGAAGTTTTAAAATACGCATATTTTTAAATCCGTTGCCCTGTTACACAGATATTTTGTGGTGCACCAGATAGTGTTAGAATTTACCTCAAAGAAAGAAAGAAAGTTAGCAGTTACATCTGATTTCTTCCTCTCATTTATAAGTCAATGTATAACTTAATTCCTTGTTGTACTTATTTGATCGTGTGCTAAGTTGACAACGTTGTATGGGGCATATATCAACTGTTGTGTATTACGTAAGAATATTTTGGACTGTCAATCAGATAACAAACTGGTGTTAAATATGCTGTAATACCTATTTATTGTATAGAAAAAAACCAAAATGGACGGAACTATATACCATATCAATTGTAAAGCGAAAAATAATCCATTAACGATTAGCAAATTGTGAAAGACATGAACATGATGAATGAATGCTTTCTGAACAATTTCATTTCTATGGCTCATTAAAGTATTATTGTTTGTCGATACGTGGTTGACAGGCCAGTGATCGATGTGGCAGTCACGACAGCTCTTATTTCATGATATTCCCGTGGTATATCAATGTTGACTCTTGTTCCTGTCGTTGTAGTTGGCATCATGATATCTGTCATTCCTTTTACAGAGCCTATTGCTACCTGGTACGAACTAATATATGTAGGCTTAAAAACATCCTTCCAATCTATGTAGTTGGTGCCATGATCAAACCCTTTCCCTGAAATGAAAAACTCAACATTGCATTTATATTTAAATGAAACTTTCAACAGAGTAGATCCACAAGGAACAGGTTGATACACAAAAAGATATTTAAGATGACAAAGTTTTATGTTTTGACAAAAAAAACAAGTAAAAAACAAAAGCACAACTCATCATAGGATTAATGTGCGTACAACACGTGATTGTGTGGAATAGAACAGGTACAGTTGGTAACAACAACATATTGGAAATGTGAAAAGAGTATATAAACGAAAAGGACATACATAGAATCGTCAAAACTGTCAAAGATTGAATTTGCCTTAAGGAGTTGCAGCCTTAGATTCACATAACTTAAAATTTACTTTATGAATTTGAAATATACAACCTAGTATATAATTTAAATGATGACAATGCCGAAGCAGAGGCTTCTTGGTGGATAGTAACCTCTACAACTAATAATGTACCATCAATCACTATTACCAAATGATCCGTGATGCATGAATTGTTGAATGTATTTTAATATTTGGCTACCATTTTCTGAACTTATGTGTATGCCTCACCTGATAACGACGGTTTAGTATGTTCACATTTAACTATTGCGTGATTGGCGATACTAGAGATATTTCCAACATTTGTTCCTTTGACATCAACACTGTATGCCTCCTGGTTTTCCATGTGAATATTTTTAAATCGAATGTAATTTTTATTAGGAATTTGAATGTCTGAGACCAGAGTTTTGTTTTTATACACTCGGGGGGAATACGACTGGATCCCGGAAGGATCATTAAAATAATCCCAACGAAAAGTTAGCGCCCTCAGGTCTCCGGTGACATTATTTATTCCAGTGTCTGTTATGAATTGTATTTTTGAACCAATGTTTTCTGGTGGAATGTAAGAGACCACTAAAGGTCCGCTATATGCAGATCCAGATAATTGAACTCCATTTATGCAGCGAAGTTTAAGGAATATTCGGCTTCCGTGTTGGACCCTAAAATCTTTTGACTGAGATAAAGATATTGATGATGTAGCTGTCCAACCAATGATGTCGCAGGATGATTCTGAAAATCCTGAAATAAAAAGAAATTGATACAAAATGTCAGAACTGCAATAAAGTTAAATGTCACAAAATGAATCTTTTATCAAGTAGGTGCCCTAAACACTAAAATTTGAAAAATACGTTTGTCTAATACAAAGCAAAAGTGATGAAAATATAATTTTATATATATTATATAAACCTTTCTTGACATGTAGATAAGTTATCAACTTATTTATAAGTATTAAAATGTATCCTTTCGTTTACGATTTATCTTGTTCTACTGCAATGAACAGTAATACCTATTGTAAATTGTTATGTAATTTAATTTAAAAGTGTTGGGTAGTCACGTACCAATACAATATTCACATAACTGTATATCACTTTCGTCGTCAATAACTTGCCATCGTGAATGTACACTGGTGGTTGTGTCATTCTGGACAGCATCTCGGTACGCAAGAGATGATTCCATATTCTGAAATATGGGAGGAGTGTGATCAATTATAAATGGATGCGATTTGAATTCATTTTGTAATCCCGCATGGTTTATAACAACAGCTTTTACATAAATGCGTTCACCATGTGTCAGGTTTGCCTCTACAATGTCATGCATACGATGTGATGATGATATTGCTGACTTCATCGTTTGTAGTTCGAACCCACCGTAGACGCTTCCAATTCCTATGTTGACTTGCTTTATGCCACTGTCTAGATCAATCGCTTGGACACAAATAGAAATTCTGTCTGATGAAATTTGTTGGGTACTAATGGTTTCAATATTCTTTGTTTCTGTAATTATTGAGGAGCATTTTAAGACATTTATCGACATTTCTGTTGATTTTAAACCCCCAAATATATCCAAGGAAAATTGTTTCGGTGCCATTTGAAATGCAAAGAAGTTGTATTCTGTTATCAAAGAACCATCTGAATTACGAGCAAAAGTTAGTACCATGGAAATATCGTCAACTGCCAACAAAGCTGTAAAGTCAGACGTGACTTCTGTTATAGAGACTTTAATCTTGTAAACATTTTTTTTATGACATATTATTTGGTCTAACCACCTTTCTCCGCCAGTGATGTGTTTTTCATATATTTCAACGAAGCCTTTACAGTGAAATGATTGAGGTGGTGTATTGTCTATTGATAATGGCAGTGACGTCACAAAAGGACTTTCATGACCAGCCTTGTCAATAGCCTTTACCATGGCTGCAATCGTGTCTCCTTGGTTCAGATTACCATCGTAAACTATGTGGTCGTGAATATCTATCTTTCGAAAACTAGATGAATCATTTGCCAAAGGAACTCTGCCATTAACAATAAATCCTACGTAATATGAATCAATAAACGAATGTTCGTCATCAAACCCGTGCCAGGAAAACTGAACTGGTTGATTATTAGACTGGTAAATGGCGTCCCTGTGATGTCCAGTATTATAAACTATTCCAGCAATGGGTGCGATATCATCAATCACAAACCCATCGGAGCTAAGTTCAGTATGTAGACCTATATTATTGATGGCTCTCAAAGTCGTGTAATATCTAGTTCCTGGTTCAAAAGAATGACCATTCCAGTCTAATCTTGTCTTGTGACCAACATCATGCATACGTACTATGTCATCAGCTGAAAAATTATAAAAACACTTTAAGTATTAAATTTCAGTTTTGTATTCCCTAACTGCACCGCAGGGGGACATTAAGTGTTACCCTTGTCCGTCTGTACGTCCGTCCGTACGTACGTCCCGAAATTGGTTACGTTATCTAATATGAAAATAAGAAGATGTGGTATGATTGCCAACGAGACAACTCTCCACAAAAGACCAAATGACACAGAAATTAACCACTATAGGTCACCGTACGGCCTTCAACAATGAGTGAAACCCATACCGCATAATCAGCTATAAAAGGCCCCGAAATGACAAATATAAAACAATTTAACTCAATTCAACTCTTAACTTTAGTTTGCCTCAACCAATGTTATGAAAGAGGGACGAAAGATACCAGAGGGACAGTCAAACTCATAGATCGAAAACAAACTGACAACGACATGGCCAAAAATAAAAAGACAAACAGACAAATAATAGTACAGATGACACAACATAGAAAACCAAATACTAAGCAACACAAACCCCACCAAAAACTGGGGGTGATGAAACTTATACACAATGCTTATTTTCACAGAACACAAATCAACTTTGAATTTGGGTGGTGACACTTTTACCGTTCTAGAGTTATACCCCTTTACAAATGGAAAAATTGCTGAATTTTTCGTTTCCGTTCTCTAACTTTAGTATGCCTCAACCAAATATTTGGAACTTATACACAATGCTTATTACAACAAAATTCAGATCAACTTCAAATTTGGGTGGCGTCACTTTTACCGTTCTTGAGTTATGTCCCTTTATAGTGTTATATGCAAGCGGGGGCATCATGTGTGTCCCATGGACACATTCTCCGTTTACTTCAATATTGATAGACAAAAAAGGAAATATTCACAAAGTTAACGACACTTGTTATTACAAAATGATTTGCTTTTATTTGTATATGAATTTAACATACCATACGGCGAAGTTCCGAGCGATACCATAAAATTCTTTATTCCACTTTCTTCATCATAGAAGACTCCATCCCAACACGATAATATAGAATTTGTAGAAAGAACATAATCCACATCATCCTCACAGTTCAATATGGAATCAATAACAAAATATCTCTTGTGAATATCAGGTGATGTGTGATCGACTTGAACTGGTTCCGATTGGAATATGGTATATAATGTAAACGAGTACCATGCTCTAACGTATGCAACATAGTTCGTCTTATGTTCCAGTTGGCTGTCTGGAGACAGACAGTGAACGGCTTCTGACTCCTTTCCGACATCATGCCAAGGGTTTTCATTTACTAAATTGAAAATACCATCTCCTGGCTGCTCGTTCTGTATACCAAATGTGTATTCATAACGCAATATCGTTTCGTTTAAGTTTTTTGTCCATTCAGACCTTAAGCATGACGACGATCCAACTATACCTTTAACGGTACTCGACACAATTAATCTAACATTTACTGCAAATTTACCATTGTTATCAGTTTTGCTAGTACACTTTGATTTTGAATTGGCTTTACATTTCTGTCCAACGACAGCACATGTGCAGTCGTTATTGCAATATTCTGCAACGCAAGAATGTTTCTGTATAACGAGATTTCCCTTGGTAAAATTCCGGTTAAAACTAACTACGTCAGTTGTTATTTTGCTCTGAGAACTTAAAAGTCCAGCATTATTTTCTGCCCAGATAGTGAGAACTAACTTCTCTGGTAATTTGTTGATAGTATCTATGTTTATGGTTGTATGTTGCATACCTCCCGGACCTTGTTGATCTGGTTTGACCTTATATGCACAAATGATGTCAACACCACTGTAATCATAGCCTATTGATATAAAATATGATCTAATGTCAGACTCTATATCACTGAATCCATACCATGTCAAATTAAATCTTATAGAGTTAGTGGTCCCAGGAATTACTTCCCAATTTAATGGCGGCATAAATCCCCCGATCTGAGGAGGAGAATAATCGAGTAAGACTTCATCACTATATGCAGTGCTACAAAGTAAGGCAGCGTTGCAAGCTGTCACCTTCACTACATAAATGTCTCCTAGGCGAAGGTGATGGTCTTTTACCAATTTCACGGTAAATGCATTTTCGTTCGATATTACAGTGTCAGACATTGGAATATGGGAGTCTATTTTGCTATGGATCGCAATAGTAGTTCTTATAATAGGACTCCGGTCATCTGCAAACCTCCATATAATTTTAAAAAATGATGGGTCTGATATTATGTGGCGGACTCCAGACGTATAACCGTTTACACTTTCTATATGCGGTCTGGTTATTGATACCGGTGGACTGTCATCTATAATAAAACTTGGCGAAGATCTTTCTACACATAGTTTCACTTTATTACAGGCTCTAACAGTCACAAACATAGGCACATCATTTTTAAGTTCGAGCTGACTTTTTATAAAAGCAGACGACAAAGATACATTCCAGCGTTCCATAATATTGCACAACAACGGTGTAGTACCTATGCATACTTCAAAATGGTCGATACCGGACTGTGGGTCTTCAAATCCAATCCAGGTGGCATGAAGTGAAGAGCTAAAATGATATCAAACATTTACTTTCTTTTACTTGTTTTAATCGTAAAAACTGAAAAATGTAGTTTTAATTACGAAACAAAAACTTGTATTTCTTTTTTCAGGGACATGACGCAACTGCCTCATATTTATGAATTTTCATATCATTCATAATCATTAGTCTAAACATTACTTTGCGTATGTTGTAAAATGTCGATTATTTTGTTATTATGCTTCGATACATCTCTTTCGTGTATTCTACATGATTTGTGAAAATTGTATATTTTTCTATTTTTCTGTCGGTTAAACAGAAGCATATTCACATTAACTATATATACAACTATTAAGGAAATAAGCTCATCACTGGATGTCTTAAGAATTATCCCAGTCCATTACAGTAATTGTTTTTGATGGACGATCTTTAACAATTTCTAAATAGTTGTTTTGTGACTGTCGTTTGTCTTTGCGTCGTTTTTTCGTTTTTTTTCCATTATTGTTTCGGTATCTCTTCGACTAATGAATTTTGATTATCACTTCTGTATCTTTCGCCTTTTTTTATACAGTGGGGAAATTCAAAACTCGACATATAGTATAAACAATTGTTGATTATTAACGATTTCATGTTAATTAACAACTGTTGTAGATTTTGTCAAATCTATCCTTAACTAGCATGATTATTTTACGACAGTATGTGGTGACCCCTAATTATTTAACGACAGTATGTGGTGGCCTCTGATTATTTGACAACAGTATGTGGTGGCCCCTGATTATTTGACGACAGTATGTGGTGGCCTCTGATTATTTGACAACAGTATGTGGTGGCCCCTGATTATTTGACGACAGTTTGTGGTGGCCTCTGATTATTTGACAACAGTATGTGGTGGCCTCTGATTATTTGACGACAGTATGTGGTGACCTCTGATTATTTGACGACAGTATGAGTTGGCCTCTGATTATTCGACAACAGTATGTGGTGGCCTCTGATTATTTGACGACAGTATGTGGTGGCCTCTGATTATTTGACAACAGTATGTGGTGGCCTCTGATTATTTGACGACAGTATGTGGTGACCTCTGATTATTTGACGACAGTATGTGGTGACCTCTGATTATTTGAGGAAAGTGTGTGGTGACCTCTAGATACATATGACAACAGTATGTGGTGACCTCTAGATACATTTGACAACAGTATGTGGTGACCTCTAGATACATGTGCAGTTGTTGTCTCATGGAATTGTACCTAACAAATCCATATCGTATGCAATCATTCAATATAATGTTAGTCAATATAGCAATACTCACTTATCAGACTGGTATCTTGAGTGAAATCCAGGTTCCCCAACAACTACTAAGCCTGGTATAGGAGCAGAATTATCAATTAATACGCCATTAGATGAACCAGGACTACAAAGTCCTGCTCCATTACAAGCTTGCATTATACAGTAATATCTAACTCCTTGTATAAACTTTGTTGACCATGTCTTCACTGAAAAATAAATTGATTTTAACATTATTAAAACATTTTGTTGTGTGAAACGTTATTTCAGTTTACTTGATATTTAATATCTTCACTTTATTTGTTACAAACAAAGCCACGATTAATGGCATAAACATCCGCGATATTTGTTTCTTGAATGTCTTTATTTTGTAAAAGTGAAGTAAGTAAAATCTGTTCTTACCGTTTTTCAAACCGACGTTTGTCGATGCTTCTATATCGTCATTTCCAGCTGTTAAACCAAGTCCAACATAATAACTAGTAATCTGTGAATGTGGATCATGAAATCCTTTCCACTGACAAGATATACTTGTTGTATTTCTCTGATAATCTATGTCCGTCTACAATGTGTTTTGAATTACACTAGTTTACATATTAAATAGAACATATACACTCTCAAAAAGAAAACAATAAACTCGCGGAAAAGAAAAGATGGTATATCGCAAACATAAGGTGCAAAAATTGGTACACCATATCCGATATATATATATACTTGTCTGAATTGAAAACAACGTTCAAACCTATGATTGCGTTGGATAAAAACCGCAATTTTTATACGTGTGCATGTAAAACAAATTTCTTGGTAGAGGGGTCTAAATACAGCAGAAACAACATTTTCCAAAAGACCAAAAAAGTGAAAAAGTATATTTTAACAAAACGCATTTGACTGACAGGTCGAACAACGAATGTTCTTAAACCCTGCTGACTGCCATTGGCGATTGCCTAATAAATTGATCACCAGATATAACACAATGGATCTTTATATTAATTTAATACCAAACAGAAAACAATAAACTTGCGGAAAAGATGGTATTCCACAAACATGAGGTGCAAAAATTTGTACACCATATCCGGATTTCGACAATTAATGTCTCTTCAGTGATGTTAGGGATCGAAACGGTATTTGGAAAGCCTATTAATTTATCTCAATATAGATATAAGTCTAAATTAAAAACAACGTTCAAACCTTTGATTGCGTTGGATAAAAACCGCATTTTTTATACGTGTGCATGCAAAACAAATTTCTGGGTAGAGGGGTCTAAATACAGCACAAACAACATTTTCCAAAAGACCAAAAAAGTGAAAAAAGTATATTTAAACAAAACGCATTTGACTAACAGGTCGAACAACGGATGTTCTTAAACCCTGCTGACTGCCATTGGCGATTGCCGAATAAACGGATCACAAGATGTAACAAAATGGATCTTTAGTATTATTTAAATAGCAAACAGAAAACAATAAATTTGCGGAAAAGATGGTAAACCGCAAACATGAGGTGCAAAAATTTGTACACCATATCCGGATTTCGACAAATAATGTCTCTTCAGTGATGTTAGGAATCGAAACGGTATTTGGAAGCCCATATAAATTACCTCAATTTAGGATAGACTCTTGAATTTTAAAGAGTCGAAATAGGATGAACGGATCATATAAACCCGAAGGCAAATATAATACAAGCCCAAACGAAAAAATATAAATAAGACTAAATTGAAAGCAACGTTCAAACCTATGATTGCGTTGGATAAAATCCGCAATTTTTATACGTGTGCATGCAAAACAAATTTCTTGGTAGAGGGGTCTAAATACAGAACAAACAACATTTTCCAAAAGACCAAAAAAGTGAAAAAGTATATATAAATAAAACGCATTTGACAAACACATGTAACAGGTCGAACAACGGATGTTCTTAAACCCTGCTTACTGCCATTGGCGATTGCCAAATATATATATATATATATATGTCAACACTTATATTCAATTGATGTTTTTGGTAATTCAGTCGCAAATAGCAATTCTATATATCAAATGTAAGCAACACAACCACTACAAAAGTCTAAAAGTCTGAAAAGACCAGTTTTTGTCTTAATTTGCATGAACTTTTACTCGACATTCTCCAAAAGTATGACTTGTGTCTTAATTTTTCTTGACAAATTCTCATTTATATTAAATTTGTATGAAATTTACTTGACATATTCTCGACATTCTGAATATGGTCTTAAAATTTCTTGACAAATTCTTGACATTTGAATACTGTCTTGAAATTTCTCGACATATTCTCGACATTCTTATTTTTTCTCAGTATGGCTTGACATATTCTGGACATTTTGAATCGTGTCTTAAATTTACTTGACAGTTCTGAGTTTTACCAATCATGACCAATATTCATGATATAACTTTAATCTTTATTTCTCTTTATATGATATACTGTTGTTTCAAGTTGCACTTCTTTACAACAAAAATAAAAGTTGGGCATGTTAAATAATTCAAAATTTGGGTATATAAATATTTTTACAAATGCAAATATGGCTATGAAATCTAAAGTATAAAATAATTCAAATGTGGGTGTGTTGATATAAAACAATTTCAATGTGGGTTTTTAAAAAATTACA